TTAGAGCAGCTTCAAAACATTTATTTCCCTGAGGATGCGACTAGGACTTCTAATTTCTATTCAAGGAATGGAGGGGAAAGGTTACCCCATATTTTTTTCAGGTAGCTTGACTTAATGTGCTCATTTTCACAATTTCTTTAGTCTGTTACAGGAGATGCAGCCTACATGACAATGTTTTCATGCAGATCATTTCCAGCAAACATCCAGTTCTCCTTTGATTTGTAACTGTGCATCCATGTTCATGGGCTAATTTGTGTAGGCTGTACCCTTAAGATCTTGGTTTTCTTTGACACATGCAAAGACTCCCGAATACCTCACAGCAAATACATGCACATAAAGCTAAAAATAAATTCTTATGGGGCACTTACCATGGAAAGAAAAAAAAAGTCTCTCAATTTTCATATTTGGCTTAAAATTTTGAGTACATAGTTTTGGGGGGAAAAATTCCCTTCCTAGCTGAAAATGGAACATAAATGACCTCCCCAGTCCTGGTATCTTTTATTGTAGGTACATTTTCATGGGCAGTCTATTACCTGCCTAGATTATCTGGAGGATAATACATAATAAGGAAAGGGAAATTCAAACAAAGATAGGAAAGTGCTCAGCTCCAACTCCTTAAAAAGACTAATGATACTTTCCCAAGGCAAATGTGAAGACAGCTTTGTAAAGGCCTCTTTTGGAAACTGTTTCCATTTGAAAAAAACAAACAAACAAACAAAAAAAACCAATCCCTGACCATTAGCTACTCTGAGTAGTTGCAAATTATGGCTGTGGATGGAAAAGCTGGCAGATTTCTGCTGATGAATTTCAGTCTAACAGCCAAGATGATCAACTAAATAAACCATTTATCAAACATTAGAGACCTTTATCTGATTTTATTTTGTAGTATAGCCAGACATAGTTTAAAAACATAGACAGAGCTGCCAGAATGGATGGCTAAGTACAGCTATAGAGAAGAATAAAAACAGTGCCCCAAATGAACCCAATTTCATTGAGTAGGATAGATGGCCTGTATTTTCTCCAAACTGTTCCCCAAATATTTAAGCAAGAGGCACAGACTCTCATGTGCAACTATTCACCAAGTGGATCAATGCAGCTTCTTAGAGCCTAGAGAAGTTCCTGGCACCAGGTAAACACTGAGTGGATAAGTTTGATTATTGAGTAACTACATAAGGGTAGGACTAAGTTCTCAACTAAAATAGAATTTCCTACATCTGTATAACCATGCTAACATGTGGAGGCTGCAGTGTACTCAGTAATAATACAACCGGAAGGAACAGGTCATTTATCCATCCCTTCATCCATCCATCCATCCATACATACATCTAGCCATGTGTTCCTCCCTCCCTTCATCCAACCATCCAACTATCCATCCATCTGTCCAACTAATCTTGCTCCTATTCTATGTCTTCTGCCACTATATTGGAAATATGTAGATGGGATGAAGATCCAAGGTCCCTTGCTTCAGGGAGTGGATACTCTGGCGTGATTTCAGAGAAAGTATGTAGTTAAGCTTACAGTGGAAACCACACCAGGTTTCCAAGTGAAACCTGATGTCTACTAATACTGAGCTTCTGATACAGAAGAGTCAACAATGGCCACTGCTATTCTTGCAGCTCAGCAAGAATCTTTCCTCCTGTCAATTCTCAATGAATACTTTTTCAAGCAGCACTCATGTGTGAAGTACTGGGAATCTGTCAGAGAACAGGCAGGCAGAACCCCTTCTCCCCTGAACCTTGGAGCATGGAGAGGAGCAGGTCAGATGTGGGCTCCTGGCGAGGCATCCTGGGGACCGAGGTGGGCGGGAAGAAGAAAGGATGACAACTCACATGGCGATGTGTTAAGGCTCACCTCCCTGCTGCTGTTCCTGTTGGTTCTCCTTGACAAGCGTATGACAAAGTAAAATGTGAAAGTCAAGAAAGGTGACTAGGGAGGCACAAGGGTTTTCCTGCTTCCTCCTGGGACCTCTATGTTATCTCTATCTCTCTCCAAAGCAAACACTTCCCCTGGGGACTTCTGGGGGACATGGACTCACAAAAAGAAATGTACCACATGGGAAATGAACATGAAAAATTGACACGGCAGCAGCTGAGTTTTGGGAGCCAGTAACTAAAGGGTGGTCCAGCAAGCTGAGAGACACATGCAAGCTTTGTTCCCTTGCTCAGGTGGAGGCTGAAGGGCCGAGGAGTTAGGTGCAACCTGTTGGCACAACTTCAGAAGCCACCACTCTCAAAGGAGTATTGACTTGTGTACACTAGGTGTGGCCCAGGCACACATGTGTCCTTTGAGATACTGAGAGAAGACATTGTAGCCAAGTTCAAAATCAACTTGAATCACACCAAAGTGCAAAGGATCCCAAATGAAATACTTTGTTGAAAGTGAATGGTGTAAGGCTCTATGGTGAACAACCCACTGGCCTGGAAGTAGACATTGAAACTAGGGCAGCAGGCCTTCTCAGCAGCACTCCAGAAGTAAGATGACAAGTAATTCCACAATCTCCCTGGAAAGACCTGCTACATTCATGTGGATCCTGGGAGGGGAGCCAAGCGTCAGTGAGATGAAGACATTGCAAAATGCCAGGCACCACTGGAAACGTGACACACAGTTCCTTTAAAGACCAGAAACTGGAGCTTTGCTTGCTCAGCAAGTACAGAGGAGCAGCTGAGCACAGTGCACCTACCCACCCAAATCTGGAACTTTTCTTTCTGCACCAATGTTGCCAGGATCAGCACTGAACTCTGGAAAACCTCACAGAAAAGTGACACTCTTCATTCATTGTCATTGATTTTCCAAGTTTAGTCAAATTGCATTTCTCTGTTTTGGGGATTGTTTATGTATTGTGGTTAGAAATGCTTAATTCAACTCCCATAATGATACACTTATCACAGCTTAACAAAAAGCCCCGATGAAAGCATCGTGAGACGGAAATACATTTGTCCCCCAAATAAACTTAAAAATAAGATAACATTCCACATTATCACTGTGGGTTGTACATAAACTTATAAAATATTTTCTTTCTAACAAAGAGAAGCTGAGATGACAAAACCACATATTTCATTTCCCTCCATGAGACAAAGTTGCAAGAACCTTTGAGGGCTCAGGGTTACAGGGAAGCTGGTGAGTGTACGTGTACATGACGTGTGTGTGTGTGTGTGTGTGTGTGTGTGTGTGTGTGTGTGCATCAGAACACTGGTAGCCATCACTTGCCTCCAAAAGAAAAGAAAATCCAGCACTCATAAAAACTGGAAGGGCTGGGAAGAGAATGGAAGATAAAAATGAAGGAAATTGACATGATATTTTTCTATTTTTAAACCTAGAAACAACTACATTTTCCAAGTGACAACCACAATTTCATCTAAGTTTGTTTCTCCCTCTTCTCTTTGCAGTAATTTCCCACTCCTAGCTACTATTTTCTTCTCAAGGTTAGAATCTTAGGGCCATTTCCAACTCCCTCTTGCCTTCTTCGTGTGGCAGTGAACACGAGTAGGGGTGTGAATGTGCTCACACAGTGCAAGACTATGCAGATGCAAACGTGCATGTGATCATGGCCTCTGCCCTCAAAAGTTCATGATCTATGATCTAGTCCAGTGCTGTCCAAGGGAACTTTCTGCCATGGGATATTATTCTATGTTGGTGCCACCTGCTGCAACAGCCACTAGCCACACATGACCTCTGAGCACCTAAGATGGTCTAGTATACCAGAAACTGATTTTTATAGTTTAATTTCAATTAATAGGAAGTTTAAATAACCACATGAGACAAAGAGGAAGGGGAGCTCCTTTATAGTAGCATGGGGTAAATGCCACAGGAAGCTGCAGGTTCATGTGCTCAGAGATTGAGGGTGAATGAGACTGTGGATGACCCAGCAGGATGGGGTGGCCTCTCAGAGGGGGCTGACCTAACCCACAGTCTTATGAGAAGTTTATCAGGGAAAAGCAAAAAAGAAGGAGATGAAAAGACATTCTGAACCCTGGGTTTATTTCATCGAAACTCTCAGGGGAAGACATATACATACACATACACACACATACACACACACACACACACACACACACACACACACACACACACACAGGCATTAAGGAGACACGACGATCATCACAGAACCACAGTGCTGGAGTGGGGTGACAGGTGACAGGTGATCAAGCCTGGGTAGTGGTGCCAGGATCAGGGAAGTGCAGAACAGGGACAGAGATGGGGTATATTAAGAGTAATGAGCTTTGGGATGCTGTGTGTGGGGTGAAACAGGGTTTCCTACTTAAGTACCTGAGGGTGGGCTAAGGATGGACCTTGAGCTCAGCAAAGGATAGGGCCACAGGGGCACATTTAAGGGGGGACATAAATGGACAGAGCACATGGTTGGCATAAACTGTGCAGCTGATGCCTGGCTCCATCCACCCATCACATCTCATGAGGGCGATCACGCATGTGTGCAAATGAGACCCAAAGTTTCCTGAATTTCTGATTTTCAAAAAACCTTAAAATAGGAAATAGAAAATCTGGGAATTTCAATATGGCCACTAATTCTAAAAGCCTTAAAACACTGGGCAAAACCAAAGAATTGGCATGTGAACTTACTGAGATCCAGGGGGACCTGTTTGTGAGGCAGGACTTAGGAGATTCCACAGAGCAGGGAACACAGAGGCCCCTGGAGAACACAGAGATGCTTACAGCAGGGGGTGGGACAAAGTCACCTCCCTTCTCCTCTCCTCCCCTCCCTCTTCTTCTTCAGAACCAAGGACCTCAAGAATGAAAGTAGGGAGCACAGACAGAGGGACCACTCGGGAAGAATGCAAATAGCTGCAGTGACCCGGCCTTTGGGACCATGTTTCAAGGGCCACCTCCCATCCTATTTACCTGTACAGACTTTCCCCACTCAACCACGTGTAAAAATCTCATTTCTTCCTTACAACACAAAGTGCCTTGACTCCCACAACCTTCCTTGTGTGGGAGCCACACTGTATTCTCATGGAAAAGAATACATGTTCCTTTCAACTCACCTCTCGGTCCAGCAGCGCAGGTGACACAACGGTGACAATGTCTCCTTTCTCAGGATCGATGTAGAACATGTTGGGAGACGGCTTGTCAGGCGTCTGCTGACGGATATTATACCGCAGGAGGGCATTGTCTGTGGCTGGGTCGTCTGCGTCAAAGGCTGTCATCCGCATCACAGTGGTCCCTGTGGAGCAGGACCAAAGATCAGGAGATGGTTACCGAGGGGCAGCAATGGTCAGGCCCCCTCCCACAGGCAACACCAATGGAGTGACGTGCCAATCACCTTCCAGATTAAAAAAGAGAAAGCATTTCCCGAGCTCTGCTATGTTTTAGCTTTTCCTCCCGGCTCCATCACATTAAAAGATCTGAAATAAAGAAAAGAAATCTGTGCCGTTCAGTGGAATGACAGCTTAATTTTTCCTTCTGCTGATGTGCTATTTATTTCAGGATCTCATTTCATGGTGGCTGTGGCTCCCTGACAATGGCCTTCATTTTAAAAGCCCTTGTGGAAGTGCATTGTATACATATATGAAAATGTCATAACAAAACCCATTATTCTGTACAATTAATATATGCTGATAAAAATAAACAATAACATTAAAAACAACCCCAAAGCTCCTATGGACTGCCTACTGCATGCCTGGGCTGGGTGCTGGGGAAGTAGAAGCACAAAAGGTACATTCCCTGCTGTCCTGAATCTTGGATGTTTGTAGGAGAGGTAGACATACAGAGGTATGCACACCAAATGCATCGAGAAGGTGAGGTAGGAACATAGCAGCCTCATCCAGGGGTGCAGAGAAGGTTACCAACACAGACATCTACGGGGTGAGGAGATGTGAGGAAGGTAGAGGAGAGGACCCCTCAGAAGGAAAGGCTATTCTAGATATAGAGTATGGGGCAAGAGCTAACTGCACAGCGACTGTGCATGACCACACTCTCAGGCGTGTCAGGTGCAAAGATGAGGATGACATGGCCAGAGTCTCTCACAAACAGGACCTATTTGATATGCCACAGATATCCGTCACAAGGGTGTTAGATGATGGGTGTGGGGGTTCTCGCACATATGTAGTTGACAGCATGGGGAACCAGTATGACAATTTTCAAGGACAACTGGGCAGCAACCAGTACAAATGATACATTTGTCTTCCTGGCATCTATTTCCAAGAAATCGACGTATCAAGGGCTTTGTGCAGGGAAATTCAGGGAGAGACGAATGGTCATGATGAAAACCTGGAATCAACATAGCTTTCCAACAAGGGAATCTATAAAATGATGGTCTCCCCACACCATGGAATACTTTGCAGTAATGTAGAAAGGGTTGTAGACCTAATGTGTCCTAGCATGGACAACTCTCCAGGATGCATTACTAAATAAAAATGTCAGGCTGAAGAATGCTACCCATATGATGACATTGTTTTCGTGGGCCTGCTTGCACACAGAAAATCCCACCTTGTGCATTTATGGGCAGGTACCGTTTGTGTCTATAAATCATGGAAGATCTATGGAGGTGAACTTCACAGTGGTAATGGTGGTTAAGTCTGGGGATGGAGAGGGGCATTGGGACTAGGGACAAACAGGGACTATGTTAGCCTAATATGTGATGTTTTGGTTATTGTCACAAGGTGATTGTATCACTTTTGCAATTAAAATTTATTTTAAAAAGAGGAATTACAAGCCCTGATAGGAGGATGGTCAAGAGCCAAGTCCAATGAATGTGCTGCTTGTCTTGACGACCATGTGGCTGTTTTAGTTGGCTTAGGGTGATCTGCCCAACCACAATTCATTACCAGTGAACTAACTGGTAAGACATCAAAGCTTGAGACCTTAGTTTCCAGCAGGAATCTTCAAGTATAGAAAACATGGTAGCTTAAAGGAAACAAGAGTTCTTCTAGTTCAACCCCACCCTGGATTCCTTTCCCTTCTCTAATATCCTTCTCCAATTATCAAAGCCAGGTTATTGTCCCCAACAAATGGAGTCATATTATCCTCCATCAGGCCTGAATGATCATGCAAACACGTGGAATCTGGCCTCTGTAAAGGTTTGATGATGGAGTTAAGTAGTCTTAGTTCACTTCACCCACACTGCCATCCAGCCACTTGCTTCAGGGTGCAGGTTCTATTCATCTTGCTTCCTTGCCCTTGACACTGTTGTAGAGAAGATGAGGCTTCAGTGCAAGGACAGAATGTTCTTGGCATGTACACCCTCTTCCTGTGCTCCAGCACTGTCTCCCTTTGACTTCCACCATGGACGAAGGACTCCCAAACAGTGGTTTAGACAGACACTCCCAGTTCTAACTCAGCAGGCCCACCTGAGGGTCTCTGTCAGAAATCAGAGGCAGATCTCAGGCCCAAGATCTCACCCAGGGAGGTGCTGAGTGAGCTCTGAATGGCCGGTGGCAGAGAAGGGGGCCTTGACCTCATCAACTCCATACCAAAGTCTCAGGTTAAGTACACTTGACACAGTGCCTCTCACTTAGCCAGCATCTAATGAATGCTTAATTGATTGAATCGTGCCCTATTTAGTCTGCCTTTAATGGAAGTCATAGCTGAACAAGAAAAAGAAAGTATAAAAATGAAGTCATCATGGCTTGTGGCTGACATACGCACTGAAATGATTAGAGGAAGAGAGAAGACTCTCAGGGTGAGGCTGTTTAGTTTTTTTTTTTTAATAGGAAATGCATTGAGAATATCTTCTTTGTTTTTATAGAGTTTATAATATGATAGAACAAAGGTTATCCTGGAATGTTCCCGTGGTTACACAGAAAATGAATTAATGAATTGTTAGGGAATAAGTGAACCTGGTCTTAAGCCGTGCCTGTCTTCACCCAGACATGGATATATATCCAAATTTACTTCTGAGAAAATCTCATGTCTGTGGAGCCTGCACAGAGCTCACACATATGAACAGGTTTGTAGCACTGAAGAAAATGACTTTGGGGCCATGTGATATCTGGGTTCCAATTTTCCTAACTGTGTGATGTAGGACACCTGGGCCTCGATCTTCCCGTGTGCACCATGGAAATGCCCCACTCCTTTTTGGTCATGGTGAAAATTTGATAGAATGATCTATTTAAAGAACTCGGCATGATGCCTTGGAGATTACTGATAGAGAAAGATGCCTTTAGTGGCAGAGCAGACAGGAGAGGAGTTAGAACTGAGCCATCTACAGAGCCTGGATCCAGGCAGAGCAGGAGAGTTGGGGCATGCCTCTGAGTTGCTGCCTTACCCTGTACCTTCCACCTACCATGATCATCATGTGCCAACTTGGGTTTCTACTATAGAGATCACAATTTTGCACCAACACACGTGTGTGTGCGCACACACACATTCTGTACATTGCTTCTCTGTGTCATACTCTGATCTTCCTCTAGATCAAAGTTCTGTCCTGAGTCCCAAGCCATCTGCTGAAATCAGTGCCTGGGTCTTCCGCCATACATTTTTTTTTTTTTAATTTCTGAGTAACTGAATAAACCTTCTAATGGGGACGTCTCCACAAAGTTGGATAAACTTCCTAAAGTAAATTGAGGAACTCCAATTCCATGGGCTCAGTGGAGAGACCTGGGGACAAACACAGCAAATAGTGAAGCGGGTTTCCCCCAGAGGACTTCTCAGTGGTTTTACTGAGCGGAAGCACCATGTCAATCTCCATGTCAGCAGAGTCTGCAGCATTTGGCAGACCTTCATTTAAAGATTAACCTTTCTTGTCAGGCACCAGTGGCTCTTGTCCATAATCCTAGCTACTCAGGAGGCAGAGATCAGGAGGATCAGGGTTCGAGGCCAGCCTCAGGCAAATAGTTTGTGAGACCTTATCTCAAAGATACCCAAAATGAGCTGGTGGAGTGGCTCAAGCCATACAGCAACTGCCTAGCAAGTGTGAGGCCCTGAATTCAAACCCCAGCATCACCCCAAAACAAACAAACAAATAAATAAATAAAGGACACCTTTCTGTGATGGGTCACACAGTCCTGAGTATGAGCTCATGGAAGGGAGGGCTGTGTTTTGTTCACACCTGTGAGCTCAGTGTGCACACACAGCATTGTCCATCAGTGGTACATTTAGTTGAATACCATCTTTACAATGTTGTAGGCTTTTTTTTTCAATCTACACTAGCCAGGCTATCAGATGAGAAGAGTGGACAAGTGGTCAACTTCCCTTGACGGTCTTCACAACCTGAAATACTTCACCACTACCTGTGAGCCCTCTCATGTTCTTTGGTGGCCCCTCCTGGACCTAGAGCCAGTGGTCATCACAAACTGCAAGGTGAAGTCCAGCAGACTGCACCTGGGCAGCTGCCCCTGCCCATGCCCTGGACTGTAAGAACTCACTTGTTCCCACCAGCCCATCAGCTTCCTACCTGGCTTGTCTTATGCCTGTGTGTGTTTCCAGATGGCAGAGAAGGGATAATTATACGATAGACAAACATTGGGTCCTCCACACGATACATTTCTGTCTTATCCCCATTACAATATTCTAAGTGTCAAAATAAACGATAATCACCCTGTCACTCCTAGGGCCAGATGAACCAGCAGTTGCCCTTCTGAAGTGAAATGAAAGAATTACAGGTTGGTAGCTGAAAGTCTCAAGACAAGCAGGCATTTTCTTTTGTCATAGGACATGACTGCCAACTTGATAGGCTGATGAATAGGGGTGATTGTTCTGTCTTGGTCAGAGAGCCCCTTTCTCTTGGCAGTCACTCTCTGATTAAAAAGAAGACTTCCTGGTGTCTTGAGCTTGAAAGCTGGAGTTTGAAGTTTGCTTTCCTGTGACTTGGAGCCTGCCAGCCCTGAGAGGTAGGCTGCAGATCTGCCAATAAGGGGTTCTTTCCAGCCGTCCTGTGGGGTTGGCTCCAAAAGTGAACTCAGTTGACTCCAAAAGTCAACTTACTATGTTCTTGAAATTTCTTTGACTTTATCCAAAAACACTGCCTTTACCTGATCAGCAAATGTTATATTCCATTTAAAAAAAACTTACTCCTGAAAGGGGATCATATACCGAGACACAGACATTGGGGTCTATGTTCACTGGATTTCAACAGCACAGTGAAGGTGTTAGCTTCTAAGTGAGGTACCTTCAAAGTGTTCTTTCCTTTTGGCCATGGGTCAAACGTTTTTGGGAAAAGACACTAAGAATGCCCAGAAGCATTCCAGTCTGCCATCTTCACAACACCAGATAAAAGTGCCCAGA